TTTCTCGCTCTTTCTAGTTTATCTTCTTCTTTATTTAAGAGATTTCCCTCAGCGTCTTCTAATATCTGGATTGTCTCTTTTTCATTTTCCTTTTTTAATTTATAGGCCAGCCACCTGCCCGATTTATTTGCGTTCTCAAAATAGTGCTGTTTTGTTCTTTTTATTTTTTGGGCTAGCTCTTCTTGATCTAGAATGTTTAATTTATGTCTCCACACCATCCAATTTTCTTTTGCTACAGTATCTCCAGGCATTTTCTGGAGTTTCCTTTCTGCTTCATCTAGCTGTTTGATAAGATCTTCCCTGGATTTTCTTTTTAGTTTGTTTTTATATGCGGTGTAGGATATTATTACCCCCCTCAGATAAGCCTTCATTGTGTCCCATACTATTTCATGGGGTGTCCCTTGGTTCTCATTTTCTCCAAAAAAAGTCTTTATTTCTCCTTTCAGTTTTTCTACGCACTCTTTGTCACATAATAGTTTTGTGTTGAACCTCCATCTCTGTTGTTTCTTTCTCTTTACATTTCTCCATTTTATTTCCAGGGGATTATGGTCTGCCCAGATGTTTGGGCTAATTTCTGCCATCTCTATTTCTAACCCCAACACCCTGGTAACCCAAGCCATATCTAATCTCGACCATGACTGTTGCGAGTTGGAATAGAATGTAAATTGTCTTTCGCTTGGGTGCAAAGTTCGCCATATGTCGATTAAATTCATTTCCTCCACCAAATCGAAAAAGATTTTTGGTAAAGTCACTCTTTTATTTTTATTCATTTTATTGCTTTTATGGTCATTATCTGGATCTACAATTCCATTGAAATCACCTATCATGCAAATTTCATTATGTTCCATATTCCCTAATTGTTCACGTAACTTTTGAAAAAATTCTCCTTGTTTTTTATTTGGAGCATAAATGACCACTAGTAACATTTTAGAGTTTTCTATCGTAACTTCAACCATAAGTATTGTGCCCTTTGTGTCGTTATATTTCAATTCTGCTTCAATTCCTTTTTTAACATAAATTGCTACCCCTCTCTTTCTTTTTTCTGCTAATGAGGTAAATAGTTTACCATATTTTTTATACTCCAAACATTTGCCCTCATCCTTTTTTATATGGACCTCCTGTAAGCAAATTATATCCATATTTTGTTTTGCTAGCTTTGTAAGTGTTAATTTCCTTTTTTTACTATCGTTTAAACCATTGACATTTACTGAAATTAATTTCAAATCCTTCATTCCTGTTTTCCTTGCTCGGTTTTAGTTCTTATTTAGTCTTACGGCTCTTACTGGTCTTGTTTTTTTCTCCTTGGCTTCTTCTTCGGTCTTCTTCTCCTCCGCGGTTTCTTCCTCTTCTAGATTTGTCACCTCTATTTCCTCCTTACTACTTTGTTCTTCTTCTGCACCTCTTAACTGGTCGAGAAAGTCTTGGGCTGTGCTCAAGCTGTCTATTTTTATTTTTCTCCCCTGCCAGGTGATTAGCATCCCCTCTGGCAGGAGCCATCTGAATAATATATTTCTTTTATTCAATTGCACAGCCAAAAATCTGTATCCTTTTCTCACCTCCCTCACTCTTCTCGGGATCTGTTTAAGTATTATCACTGCTTTTCCTCTGTATGTTATTTGTCCGTCCCTCGCCATACTGTATAAGATGTCTTTTACTTTTTTTCTTGCGAATCTAATGTGGACTTCTCTGGGGAGCCTATTCCTCCTCGCATAGTTTGTTTGGACTCTATAGACGTCGTCCAGTTCTCTAATAATCTCGCGTTTGTCTTGTTGGAGTACTTCTGCAATTAGTTCCGCCATCTTCTCTCCCAAATCCTCGTCTTTATCTTCTTCCACATTTTGAAAGCGCAAGTAGAACGACGCCCTGTCCATCTCTAATTGTGTTAATGAATCTTCTAATTCCTTATTTTGCATCGTCAACGTCTGATCTACCATGTCCAGTTTCTTCTCATTTTGTTCTATTTTTTGCTCCGCCTTCTGGATCCTTTGTTCGTTGTTCGAGATTGAGACTTGAATCTCAGTCATCTTCTGGTCCAGTTGGTGGATATCTGTTTTTAGTTCGGTGTGGTTATTGGACATTTTTTCCTGCATGGCCATCATCGTTTCTTGGATTAATGTCAGTGTTGACTGTACTGTTAGTAATGTTGGTGTTGCTATGGCCTTGTCCATTTTTTGTAATCCTTCTGTTGATTTTTGGGTAGCCGGGGAGGTCATGGATATGGTGGGATTTGAGGGGGTCTTCTTCCCTGTTTTCAGGATCGTTGATGACATGCTCGTCATTTCTTTCAGAATTATTTTTTGTTCTCTAATTATTTTCTCGATATTTCTCCAAATTTTCATACACTGGCTGTCACCTTTTTTTATACTTCTTCAAAGTATGGGGGGGGGATTTTTTTTTTTTCAGTCAATGTCCAAAATCAATGTCTATTTATCACTTGTGTCACATGTATCACTTCCAATCACTATCTTAAATAAACTTAACAATCAATATTAATTCATCAATCTATATTACTTCCAATCAGTGTCTTAAATGAATAACAAGAGTTGATTTATGACTTATAGTTATGTAATAATAATAATAATTAATTGGTGTGTTAAATAATAATTGATTAATAGGGGCTTATTTCTACTTATTCGTAGTTGATTCAAGACCTGGTAATTCTAATCACAATAACCCGTTAACTCCTAGGTAAATCTATGCTCTATAACTACAATTCTTATGTCTAAATTACTGCTTAAAAAAAGTATTAATTCAAATTTCTATACTTCTGATTACCAATAAGTTAATATGTGTAGGAATTGTAATTCTAATATAGCAATATATCAATATATGAAAATATTATTTGTACAGATAAATATACATGTAAATAGATATAATTAAATACAATTAAATGGTTGAATAAATAGATATAAATCTAATAAACTCTATAAGAATATATCTTGTATATAAGCAATTAATTAATATAGAGATCTACGCTTCTTGTTGATAATAATGTTAATATGCAGAGAATCAAAATATTAAAAAAAGATTTTTCAGAAGAAAGAGGGAAAGAGAAGGGAAAATCTCCAAGTTTTTAGTTGGGGGCAAGCAATATTTTCCCAAAAGTAAAGGGGTGATATTCTTTCTTTCTCACTCAGCTGCCAGTCTCATCCAGTCCTGTCTTCTTCTCACGTTTACTTTGCCACTGTCAAAACTCTATGGTAAGCCTCGAAGCTAGATCGTCTCCATGCCTGTCCTTTTCAGTTTGCTCTGTCAGACTTCTTCAATGGCTGCACTTCCTGTTCTCTGGCACAATTAGATAGAGTCCAATCTCCAGCTTAGTTCATCTTTCTGCTTTAACCAGCAAATAGAGAAAAAAAAGTTCTTCTGAATTCTTTTGGCTTCCTTACTCCCTATACCCACCGATCCTCTTCTTGCGCAGGTAATTCAGCAACCTCAATTTCTTGTTCTCTACGCCGGCTTGTCGAGCTCCGTGATCTTTCAGTCTATTCTCCACTCTCCGTCGCCGCTCTTTTCTGTTTAAGCCCTTCTCGCCCGACTCCGCCGGCCCCTTCCTGATGTTCACTCTCACGTAGGCAGGGAGGACACGGTTCAATCTCGACACTGCAGCCTCCGATCTTCCTTGCTTCCCGTCTGGTTGTCAGCTACCACAGCTTCGGGTCAGCCATTGAAAGGCTGACTTCACACGCGTTGGCTTGACAGAGCCGCCCGGTTTAGCGAGAAGTGTGTGCGCTTCACTTTCTCGCTCACCCGGCTCTCTCTATTGTCCGCGGGGCTCTCCAGGACCCGCGCCCCCGAAGGGATCCCCAAAATGCGCTGACAAACGGTGTTGAGGGGTGACAGTCACTCACTCAGCACCATGTTGCTGCAGCTCGCCAACCGGAAATGATATTATAGAAATTCTTATACAAATTGAAGTAATTGTATGGAAACACACAGTTTTATTTCCTGATCAATTTGTGTTTTGAATAAATCAGAGGCAGAATGTAATACTTTCTGCAATATCTAAAATCACGGGCCTGGTGGCTCAGCAGACTAATAGCATTGTGATTAACATCAGCTGTCTGCAATTACTGTAAGTTTGAATCTCACAGGCTCAAGGTTTACTCAGCCTTCCATCCTTTGTAAGGTAGGAAAATTGAGGACCCAGTTTGTGGGGGCAATAAGCTGACTTTGTATAAATATACAAAAGTATGAAGGCTATTGCTTAACGCATTGTAAGCTGCCCTGAGTCTCCGGAGAAGGGCGGCATATAAATCAAATTAAATAATAATAATAATAGTATATTTAGTATTAAATAATAAATAACAAAGGTGACATCAGTGCAACATCAAATTTCAATGTATGAACATATTGACAATATTTTTGTAAAAGATACACACATACATACACACTCAGGTAGAACCTAGACAGATTCTTGAAAATGAAGCTGGTGACTGAAATTGGTGTTTTATTTGTAGTATGGCAGCTTCCCATTTCAAATTAGAATAATCTTTTATGCATTATTTAAAAGATCAGAAGCAACAAAAGTCCAATAGATATCAAAAGTTGGGTGGTATGTAGCTTTCAGCAAGGAATGCCACTCATCTTTTATAAATTGTTTCAACTTCTACCCTCAAAATGACACTATAGGGTACTTCACACCAGAACTAGACCCAAGGACAGTTTTTTCCCGAATGCCATCACTCTGCTTAACAACTAATTGCCACAACACTGTCAAACTATTTACTAAGACTGTATTACTATTATTCTTCTCATCCTTCCTATTACCTATCTCTTCCCACTTATGACTATAAACATCCTTCCTGTTTGTATTTTTACGATTTACATTGTTCTGTTGTTTACTAGTATGATTTGATTGCTTATTAGTAACCTATGACTATCAATAAGTGTTGTATCTGATGATTCTTGATGAATGTATTTTTTCCCGCTCTTTTTTCTTCTTCTTTTTCCTTTCCTGAGCCTTGGTGGCGCAGCAGACTAAAGCACTGTTAAGTAACACCAGCTGCCTGCAATTACTGCAAGTTCAAATCTCACTAGGCTCAAGGTTGACTCAGCCTTCCATCCTTTCAAGGTAGGTAAAATGAAGACCCGGTTTGTGGGGGCAAGAACACCGCTTTGGGGGGGGGGCGAAAGCCCTACTAAGCAGGTATATACAAAAGTATGAAGGCTATTGCTTAATGCATTGTAAGCCACCCTGAATCTCCAGAAAAGGGCGGCATATAAATCGAACCAATAAATAAATAAATAAATAAATAAATAAATAAATAAATTTTATGTACACTGAGAGCATATGTACCAAAGACAAATTCCTTGTGTGTCTAATCACACTTGGCCAATAAAGAATTCTATTTTGGTCTCAGGACAAAAGTGGAAAGTTAAGGAGCAAATTAATGATTAATGGACCAAAAAAAATTTCAGGTTTGTTTCTTCCTCAACATAACTAATCTTATACATGGCAATCCATTTTTACTGGAATGATTTTGTTACAAGCTCAATAAAAAAAAAAACAATATATACTAATGTGTGCACATTCCTGACCTTGTTATGGATATCAATAAAACTGCAATCTTATAGATCTATCTATCTATCTATCTATCTATCTATCTATCTATCTATCTATCTATCTATCCATCCATCCATCCATCCATCCATCCATCTATCTATTAATTTGGGGGCAAATATTCTCTGAAGAAATTCATTGGAGCTACTCATCTCTTCCATTTTATTTCATTGTTTCCTCTGTTTTGCAATAGATAGCAAAAAACAGTCCAAGATGAGATAAGAATCCTAAAGGCAAAATTGAGAAGCAAAGTAGACTGTTTACTGAAAATAGAAACAAACTAAAAAGAAGTAGCAGCAGAAGTAACAGAACTAGGTGAGTCATTCAAAAGATAGAATGAAAATTATAGGTAGAAGTCAGAACTGAAGAGTCAGCTCAGAACTCAAATAGTACAGTGGTTTAGTGCACCCTATCATTTACACAACTGCCTGCAATTTCTGCTGGTTCAAATCTCTCCAAGGCTCAAGGTTGACTCAGCGTCCCATCCTTTCTAAGGTAGGTGAAATGAGGACCCAGTTTGTGGGGGCAATAAGCTGACTTTGTATAAAATATACAAAAGAATGAAGGCTATTGCTTAACGCATTGTAAGCCGCCCTGAGTCTCCGGAGAAGAGCAGCATATAAATCAAATAAAAAAAAAAAAAATTAAACTGGAGACATTTGAGAAGCCAGGAAATAGCCAGGAAAGTAGGAGGGAACCTTTGTATCCAAAAATATATGGTAGCCAGTAGCCACCTGAGAAAGTATGACCATACCAGAGTCTAAAAACTCTTGACTGATTACACCCTCTTGAAAGAGATGGTTTATAATGGGAATTTACCTGGTTAAGATGCGTGCTTATACAGCAAGTAATAGCCATAACCAGGGGAACACTGTCTTTTAAAAATTGTGTTTGGACACATACTAGAGGTCTGCATAGCTATTTCTTAACATGTGAGACACAATACATAGGCCAGCTACATTTTAGATCAACTGTGATTTCTGACCAATCCTCAGAAACATGTACTAGCATTGTCGGAATGTGAATGATAATGTTAAGACCAGAGATATCAATGGGAAAAAAGATCAAGATGGTAGTTCCCACTGCAGTTGAAGATCTGTTCCTTTTTTATTGTGTGCCCTGCCTGCAAGGGACATAAAAATGGCTGAGTTTTGCTTACATGGTCATGGCTGTTTTGACCATTTGACACACACTCCCTCAGACACCCCAAGAACAGGGTTTTTTGTTTTTTTTTGTTATGTGAAAAAAGCACAACTAATTCAGTAGAGTGCATTAATATGATATTGAAGCAAGTTACATATTCACTTTTTTTTAAAAAAATCATTATGAAACTAAAAAGCATATTAGATTGTTAATTGTTTGATGTTCCATACAGAAACTTGATCTTTTTAATAAAGCATGATAAAAGTAATGTATATATTATCTGATGAAGAATCACTGCAACTCTGAATTTATAAATAAACTTAGATTTGTCGGTATTAATTTTATTTAGTACCTAACAAAATCGGTCCTATTTTTTGAAATTTATCTTTAAATATATAAACAATTAAATCTGAATCTAAAGCAATCATAGTAAAATAAATTTGTAAAAATGCTGATTTTAAAAAAAATTAGGACCAAATATTTTTCCAGATAACGATGGAAACAGAACATGCAAGTATTTTGTGTATGCAGGAATTAATTTCCAATGTGCAACATCCCTTGGGACATTTATATTCTCCAAGTCAGTACAGAACAGTCCATCAAAATAACAATTGTAAATACATACATTTTAACTTGCACTTAGAAACTTTGGTTTCCAGGGGAATATTTTTTAAAAGAAAGAAAGGGTAAGAAAAGAAAATGAGTCATTTTCTCTGGACAAATGATCTGTATTGCTCATTTGGTAGTTTATTCCAGTTTGCAGGAAAGGTTTTATTGGTTACACTTGTGAAATACTAATGGCAGCTGGATTTGGAAACACAGTTGAAATAGAAATACTGTGCTCTCATGTGTAAGATAAGATCACAAAGACTATCATGAGCTCAAAAGGTAAATGGTTCAAAGGGATATGCCAATAACAGAGTAGGTAAATGAAAATATATGCAAGAGCTTTCAAGTTGGAGAAAGATGGAAGCAGCAATTAAGGTAATCAGAAGATTATTTATCTTGCATCATATGAAAATATTTTGTCCTGTTATATGAGGATGATATAATATAGTTTATATTTATAGTTTTTCTCTTAAATTGACCTGAAAATGGCAATCAAAAAACAATCCCAATTTAGGACAGATGTCTGTATCCTCAGATATAATATGCATTTGGAGAGGACTACTTCCTTTTATAAAGAAAAACTATCCTGAGCTAAAATCCAGCCTTCTTGTCCCTGGGGATTTTTTTAGGACATAGCCAAAAAATCATAAACCTGTGAGAAATTTGGCATTTAAAATGCAAATATTATATAAATAAAGAACGTTTTTGGAACTATTTATTGATTTCTACAATTTTTTTTAATTCTATGGAGTTTTATATTATCATAAAAATTATATGTTACAAAAATTATATTCAAGGTGGGGAAAGAGACTGTTGTATCAGAATCATTTTTGAGTCCATTGTTCTTCTTTCAGTCATTTGCCATTTAAATAAGTGAGTGATGTAATAAATATTCCAAAGGGGAGGTTACCTTTTTATTTATCTTTAAAAGGAACAACCAGGAATTGCTTCATCATTTCTGAACCCTGATAAGCATTTTTAATAGATATGTACCCTCAGCTCACCTTTTACAGGCTAACAATTTAAACTGAATACCAATATAGACACAGAATAAATGATTGTTTCCTGCCAGAGATATCTGCCGAAAAAATCTTGGAGTAAAACATTGTCTTTGCCACTCATTGTATCTCTAATTAGAGTGGAAGGAGACAGAATCTTTGCTGGTGTCAGTCTCTGTTTAGCGTGCCCTGGAGCTTGGAGCTCCTCTGGGTATCAAAGTGCCCTAATTAAATGAGGGGTCCGCAATACAGCACTAAACATCAGAATGAGAGAAAAAGTCCAGTGTCCTCAGTGCCTTTGAGAATCCATGGCCCACACTAATTACCCATTGTTGAATCGACTTTCCCATTCTGCGAGTTTTCCTTGGCCGCCCTTCTCCCTTCACAATATCCTCCTCCTCCTCCTCCTCCTCCTCCTCCTCCTCCTCCTCCTCCTCCTCCTCCCCTTACATTTTATCATCTTTGCTTTGACCGCCTAATTAATCTTATGGAAATCTCCTGAATCAGATTTCAGCAAGGTTGCCCTGATGTTTATAATTTGATTTGTGAAGATAAAAGTGAAGGCACCCGGTGATGGAACGGTGTCATTTTCAACCCTCTTGAGAATTGAAGAGGCTATCAATCTTTCCCACGTGCGTGGCAAACTGATATGCTAGAAAATTAACTTCAATTAATAACAGAAGTCCCCAGACACTCAGGGAAGTCGAGATGCTTTGAAAGAGAACCTTCAAAGATGTCTCTGGATTGTCTTTTATATGCAGACTGAGATATAAGAGATTCTCAATGAGGGAATATGCAGTGATTGTTTTGCCCCTTCCTAATTTCAGAGAAATGAGTTAACATTTTATATTTCATTCTAAAAGAAGTTAACCAAATGTCTCCAGGTTATATCAGTCCTTATTTTGTCTCCTTCATGAGCATTTCACAAAAATTAAGAACTGAAGAAAAATGATTAAAAACTGGGGTGGATCCCCCCCTTTTTTTCTTTTCTTTCTTTCAGCAACATAACACAATTATTTATTCATGGTGGCAAGATTTATAAAGTAAACAGGATTCTTTCTCTCTCTCTCTCACACACACACACACCACAAATTAGTAATGAGAAAGATTTGGTCATTAGAAACTAATAAAAAGCAGGATTCTGATAAAGAAATGATGCTCCATAAAGAAGTCTGCACTTTTGAGTAGCATTAGCATAATGGAGTTGGGAGAAACAAATACCTCAGCAATACCTGGGATGAAATTCATGGAAAAATGAAAAACACTTCACATCACTATAATAAACAACAATTTAAATTGTTCATGTAAATATAGTGCCTTTGACACTTTTTGGTAAACAAGATTGGAACAAATATATAATAAGTAAATGAGTAATTTATATGAATAAATATTTATTACCTGGTACAAATTAGAAAGCTACAATCCTATCTAGCATTGTAGTTAATTTTACGTTCCTCATGCTACTCTGATAGATATTTATATATAAAGATATAAAGATACTTTCAGAGGAACAAGAATGGGTTAAGTTTATAGCTCCCCACCTTTAACATTCTTGCAAGAATCATCATGGGAATAAAGTCGTGTTTTGCCATTTCTCATTCTCATTACAACCTTTGTTACGAGAATGAGGTATTAGGATTTTAATGCCTCATATAGCCTGTGAATTATGTTAGTGTGCTGTACTTCTTTGACCTTTTAAGTATTCTATAATTTGATTGGCTGGCAATTCCAGTCTGGATCTTGGTTGACAAGCTGTATAACCTTCTGGTGGAAAAAATGTAAAACATTTGAGAGGGCAAAGCAGCTGGGTACATCAGCATAGATGACTCTAGCCCACTGGATAATAATAATAATAATAATAATAATAATAATAATAATAATAATAATAATAATAATAATAATAATAATAATTTTATTTCTATACCGCCCTTCTCCCGAAGGACTCAGGGCGGTGTACAGCCTGTTTAAAAACATAAACAAAACAACAATATAAAATTTAAAATAATGAAATAAAGTGGCTCAGATTTAAAACCCCAATAAATTTAAATATCCCAATTTAAAAACTATTGTGTTGCTAGTCTGGCCTGGCGGAATAATAGGGTCTTCAGTGCGCAGCGAAACGCCCGGAGGTCGGAGATCTTACGAATTTCCGGGGGCAGTTCGTTCCACAGGGCTGGGGCTCCCACAGAGAAGGCCCTCCCCCTGGGCGCCACCAGTCGACATAACTTGGTTGACGGCACCCTGAGGAGACCCTCTCTGTGGGAACGGACTGGTCGGTGGGAGGCTATTGGTGGCAGAAGACGGTCTCGGAGGTACCCGGGTCCTATGCCATGGAGTGCTTTAAAGGTGGTAACTAACACCTTGAATCGCACCCGGAAGACCACTGGGAGCCAGTGCAGCTCGCGCAGGAGGGGTGTCACATGGGCACAACGAGTGCAAAACAATGCAAAACAAAAAGAAAACAAATGAGTATGTCGCTCTGATATAACATAAGGTGATCAGATTTTAACATTGGTAAAGAGGGACATTGTGGGCGTGGCTTATTTTGTGGGCATGGCTAGCTGG